TATATATATATTATATATATATATAAGTAAATTATACAGATAATAATACAAAGAAAGAAAAGAAAATTAGGGTTTAGTAGGATACGCTGTCTTATTTGTTTATACAGCGAATAAGAAGAAGAATTAGGGTTTAGGGTTTAGGGTTTAGGGTTTAGAGTTTCTTAACTCTTTCCCTTATATAAAAGTCTTTATATTATTATTATAATATATCCTTTATTATGCTGCATCTGCTGCATCTGCTGCTGCTGCTGCTGCTGCTGCTGCAATTATAATTAATTAATTTATTTATTATTTAATTGTTCTCCTTCTTCTTGTTATTCTTCTTGTTGTTGTTGTTGTTGCTCTTGTTGTTGTTGTTGTTGTTGTTCAATAAATAATTTATATTTATACATATAATTAAATTGCCAAGAAAAAGAAGGATAAAGAAGAGGTCTATGATCTATACGTGCATCCTCAGGTGTATGTACACCTAAATGTATACATGGTGTTAATGTTGCTGTTTTATGACGATTTATGCCATAATAACGAAAGAAATGGCATGTCTTCCTGTATACATATACATATAAATATAAATAAATAAATAAATAAATATGTATTTATTAATATTTATATTTTATATTTATATTTTATTTAATTAAATAAAAAGAAACAACACAAAAAACGAACAAAAATGAAAAAAATTCCATGTATATATATATTCCAAACCCTAAACCCTAAACCCTAAACCCTAAACCCTAAACCCTCATAAACCGTAAACCCTAAAAAAAAAAAAAAACTTACTGATAAAGAGTATTAAGATTAGCAGAACTATGTTGTTGTATAGTTTTGAATAGAGAGAAAGGACCACATCTAAATGTTTTCCTTAAATAACTAAATAAGGATAAATCATCATAAGATAGACCCATCTCTTCTTCGTCATCTTGTTGTTGCTCTTCTTCCTCATCTAATGGACGTAACTCTGCACTAGGACGTTGATCTAATATATCCTATACATATAAATACATCATAAACCCTAATTAACCCTAATAATAAACCCTAACTAACCCTAATCAAAACCCTAAACCCTCATAAACCCTAATAAACCCTAATTTTCAAACCCTAAACCCTCAGAAAACTAATAAAATAAATAAAATAAATAAAATAAATAAAATAAATAAAATAAATAAAATAAATAAAATAAATAAATAAATAAAGACTTACAAATAATACAGGACATTGAATAGGAGGGTATAATGCTGCCCATAATAATAAATCTTTTATATCTTGTTTATTTAGACCACCAATAGGGTTTATGTCTCCACTACTACAATCATATTTAGTTAGATAACCACGAATACATTCATCACTATTACTTGCAGATAATACTAATAAACCACGAGGAGGAGGGAGGGGAGGAGGGGCACCCAATATATAATTAGGGGGGGGGGGCCCTCTTACTGTATGAGGAGGGGCCCCCAATCCTTCATCTCCTCCTCTTTGTCTATTAGGGTATTCATTAGGTAGAGAAAAAGATGAGGAAGAAGAAGAAGAGGAAGAGGAAGAGGAAGAAGAAAAAGAAGAAGAAGAAGAAGATAATAATTTAATTTGTCTATCTATAGGTAATAATTGAGCAAAAAAATAAGAAAAGACCATCCTTATTCTTGCTTGTAAATTCTGTAGGGCAATATCTTCTTGTTTATAAATATATCTTTTTTTTTCTTCTTTTTTTTCCTCTTTTTTTCCTCCTCTTCCTCCATCTCCTCCTTCTTCTTCTTTCTCCTTATTTATATAATTAATTATATTATTATTATTATTATTTATATTATTATTATTATTATTATATTTATATTCAGGTACCCAATTAAATATATTATAAAAAGAAGATAAAAAAGAAGAAAAAACATTATTAATATCTGCATGTATATAATAAATACCTAAATAAGTAGATAATTCTTTGCTTATTTTTTGTGTATAATTACTATTATTATTACTAAATAAATAACAACTATATATTATTTTATTTATTAATTCTTTTTCTTCCTTAGGGAAAGATTCATCTAATAAATCTATACCTATTATTCTTTCTACATCTCTTAATACACCAAGGGGCCCCCCTAAATATAATAATTCTTCTTCTTCTTCTTCCTCAATTGTACCCTCAGGGGCCCCCCTATACCTATTTTTCCTTCCCTCTTCTTCAATAAGGGGCCCCCATCCTTCCTCTTCCTCTTCTTCTTCCTCCTTCTCCTCTTGTATATTTTTTTCTTTTCCTTTATCCCCCCCCGTTAATAACCATTTATATTGTTTATCTTGTTTATATTTAGATAGATATTTATGTGTATATAAATAAGAATATTTATATTTATTATTAATAAAAGGTTTAATAATATTAAATATATTATAAGACATAAGAGTAGTTAATATAATTAAACAAGAAGAATCTATACCACCAGATAAAGGTATAAAAAAACCACCACTATTAGATCTACGTAAATAGTCCCATAAATATATACTAATTATATTACCTATTTCCTCTATTTCCTTCATCCTTTCTTCATCTATACCTGCTGCTGCTGCTGCTGCTGCTGCTGCTGCTGCTGCTGTTGTTCTTGATGATGATGATGATGCTGATTGGTGCGGTGCTTGTCCTGCTGCTGTTGCTGTTGCTGCTGTTGCTGCTGCTGCTGCTGCTGTTGCTGCTGTTGCTGCTGCTGTTGTTGTTATTGGTGATGGTGGTGGTGGAGGTATTGCTGCTAATGATGATAGTATAGATGATTCTTTTATTATTTCTTTTTTTTTTTTTTTTTCTTCTTTTTTTTCTTCTTGTTTATGTTTATATAATAAGAATTGGTGCATTTGCTGCACATGTTGCTGCATTTGTTGCTGTTTATATTGTAATAAAGGAGAATAAATAAAATATTTATTAATAATATTATTATTAGGGGATAAAGAAAAAGATAAATATATTCTTGGTATAGTATTACATTCATTAGATGCTGTTGCTGCTGCTGCTGCTGCTGCTGCTCGCATATAAGAAGGATTAGATCTTCTTGCTGCTCTTATTGTAGATAGATCTATAGATACAGACTGTACATACACCTCATAAAAAGAAGATGAATAATAAGGACCCCCTATTATACTATTATTATTATTATTATTATTATTATTTATACTATTATTATTATTATAATTATAATAATTATAATTATATTTATTATTTATTAATGGATAACCGCATGCATAAATCATAGAAGAACCATCAAATAATAATCTTCCTCCTGCATCTCCTCCTAATTGATTACTGTATATATACACCCCAAGGTGTCTATAAGTTGCTTCCTTTATTAATAATATTCTTTTTTTCTTCTTTTTTCTCTCATAGTAACTACTACTACCATTAGATATTATATCTGCACCTAATAAATAATAATTTATATGAGGAGGATATGCACACCATAATTCCTCACAACATTCAATACCTATACAGCTCCCTATACACTCCAATAATGCTAAACCTATACATATATAAACACACATATACATACATATATATTTATTTATTTATTTATTTATTTAATTTATTTATTTATATGCTTATTTACATATGGTTATACATATATATATATGTGTGTTTATACAATATAAAGGAGGTGAGAGAAGAAAAGAGACAATAATAAATAAAATAAATAAATAAATAAAAGAAAAAAAATAAATAAAATAATATAATGAATAAATGATAATCTTACCGAATGGTGCTGTCTTTTGTCCTGTTGCCTCAACAACAGCAGGAGGTAATGGCATTTCTTGTAGCATAGGTTGTTGTTGTTGCTGTTGTTGTGGTGTATATACACCTCCTGCTGCTGTCCATGCAGCAAAATAGCGACTCTCTCTATACCCACCTTCATCTACAAGTCTTGTCTTTGGTCTTATTAATATTACACGACCATTAAGTAATAATACACGACAATTATATTGACTCTGCAGCAACAACAACAACAACAGCAGCAGCAGCAGCAGCAGCAACAGCAGCAGCAGCAGAGACAGAAACAGAAAGACAATTATAAATAATAAAACAATGATTAGACCCATCATTATAATCCAAAAAATAAAACAAACACAACCCTATCTACATATATATATAATTGAATATATAAATAAAATAAATAAAATAAATAAAATAAATAAAATAAATAAAATAAATAAAATAAAATAAGATATACTCCTCTAAAATAGAGTGGTGCTCCTGTCTCAACAAGAATATTATGAGTTAAATTAGAAGAAAGAATCTTTGCAATTATTTGCCATGAATGTCTTTCTGTATCTTCTTCTAAGAAATGATCTTCGCATCCATAACCACATGTCTCCAATTCAGGACCTATAATAACAGCAACAACAGCAACAGCAACAGCAGCAGCAGCAGCACCAGTAGCAGTAGTAGTAGTAGTAGTAGTAGTTGTTGTTGTTGTTATTGTTGTTAAGAAGAAGCAAAAGAAGGAATAATATACAAACAAATTAACAATTATACATTAAATGATGAATTGGTATAGCTGCTCCATTTGTTGCTACTACTCTTCTTCTTCTTCTTGCTGCTGCTGCTGCTGCTGCTGCTGTTGCTGTTGCTGCTGCTGCTGCTGCTGCTGCTGCTGGTTGTGGTGGTGTAAATACATACCAACACGGAATTTAGCTCCTTGTCTTTTTGCCTTCTCAATACTCTCAGCAATACGACGAAAATTTCCTTCAAAGTCTAATGCCCATTGATTGAGTGTACAGACAGCTACACGAGCTATAGATCCATCTATATCTGCTGCTGCTATTCCTGCTGCTCTTGCTGCTCTTTCTTTCTCTGTTTGTTCTACTCTTGTTACTCTTTTTCCTTCTGTTCCTATTAATGGGGTCTTATCTGCTGTTATTGTTGCTGTTGTTGTTGGTGTTGTTGCTGCTAATGATGATGATCGTGCATGAGCATCTGGATATAATGATTGCTGCTCATGATTCATTTCCTGCTGCTGATGCTGCTGCTGCTGATGCTGCTGCTGCTGATGCTGATGCTGCAACCCTACAGATGAGGAAGAATAATCACGAACCATCTTAGGGGCCTCCAATAATGGGTACGGTCCTGATGAGCGGCCCCCCACAGAGCAATGAGACTCCATGGGGGCCCCTATTGCTTCTATGATAAGAGGTGAGGGGTGTTGCTGTGTGCTGCGGTGGTGGTGGCGGGTAGAAACCGGGCTTTAATTGGAGAGGAGGGAAGCTGTAAAGTAATTGTCTATTAAATAAAAAGGTAATATTATAATAATAATTAAATAAAAGAAGAAGAAAGCAAGAAAAAATAAGAAAAGTATGAGGCAATCGTGCTTTCTTGCACAAAGGTCAAGAGGAAACCGTTGCTGTTGCAAGAAACAATTAGATCTGTTTCTTCTTTTCTTGTCCAAGTGTAAGGAAGAATAAAGGGTATTTTGTTGATTTATAAGGAAAATAAATTAAATTATATAATATATATTAATTATATTTATAATTCACAGCATAATTCAGAAGAAAAAAGAAGCAAAATTATAAAAGTGATGGTTGTCGATGTATAATTAGCGTGTGGCTTGTGGTAAACATTCAGATTCAGGTGTACGTACACCTCAAGAAGAAGAAAAAAATAAATGTGTGAATAAATAAATAAAATATATATATTTATTCATTTATATTATTATTATTTAATTAAAAACTAATAAAAAAAGCATTTATTCTATGCACCACTACCCCTTTATCCCTCCTCTTCCCTCTCCCTCCTCCTGTTACTGTTTATAAGGTATAATAAGCATGGTGTGGCGCCTCTTCTCTTCTCTTTGTAGGAAAAAATAAACAATTATTATAATAAATGCATGCAAAATATAAATATATTTACATTATTTATATTTATTTTATTTTACTAATTAAATATATTATTTAATAGAAGCAGACAACCCCATCATGAGCTGTACATGCAGTAGTAGATCTGCACAGCACGATTGATTCATTATATATATATGTATGTATGCCTAACACTTCTTTTATATAAATAAATGCATGCATTGTTTGCTTATTTATATTAATTATTCTTTTTTCTTTTTTATTATTTTATTTATGTCTTGTTTTCTTTTTTTCCTTGTTTTCCCTTTATTTTTTTTCCTCTTTTTTCCTCTTTTCTCCTGTTTATGTCTTCTGCTCTTCTTCTTGTTCTACTGTCTACACCATTTACTTTTATTCAATAAAAGAGATAATAAAAAGAGGAATAAAAAAAGAGGGAAAAAATACATGCATGCATGCTTTTATTTGCATGCATGCATGCTGCATTACATGCAACTGTTACAGAGACGTGCAGTGTTCTGCAGATCTGCTCCTGCTGCTGCAGCAGCAGCAGCAGCAGCAGGAGCAGCAGCGGCAGCAGCTACACAAACAGGCCTGTAGCATTTATTATCTTATTGAGGAATCAACACAAAAGCCACACTTTTAAGCAGCGGACTCCTCATTCCTGCTGCTGCTGCTGCTGCTGCTGTTGCTACTGCTGTTGTTGTTGCTGCTGCTGCTGCTGTAGGCCTAAACCCTAAACCCTAAACCCTAATCCCTAAACCCTAAATAATAAAGAACAAGAAGATAATCATCTTCTGCACAGAACGAATACTACTATCTGTAGCACATAATATACACCATAAAAATAAAATAAAAAAGAATAAAAAATAAATAAATAAAAAAAAAAAAAGAATAAATAAAAAAAATAAATAAAAGTAATATCCTCCCTACTAAGGGAAGCAGCACGAATGTCTTGCTGCTGCAGTTGCATCAGTCTGCTTCCTTTCGCTATGGGAGCAGCAGCAGCAGCAACAGCAGCAGCAACAGCAACAGCAACAGGCACTTCTGCGGAGACAGCAGCAAATGCAGCAGCAGCAGCAGCAGATGCAGCAGCACAGCGTCTCATTGTCTCTTAGCTACGGAGACGCACGAAGGGCAATAAGGAACAGCAGCAGCAGCAGCAGCAACAGCAGCAGCAATTAGCAACCAGTTTGCTGCTGCTTGAAGGGGACAGCCAGACAATCGAGCAGCTAAATTCATTTTATGCACGAGCAGCAGCAGCAGCAGCAGCAGCAGCAGCAACAACAACAACAGAGCAACGAAAGCAGAGTTCCCTCCGCTACTGCATAACCCGCTGCTGCTGCAGCCTTTGCTGCTGCTGCTGCTGCTTCTGTATGTTAGATGATGCTGCAGCAGTGCTGCAGTTGCATGTGTTCTTATCTGTTGCTGCACCTGCAGCAGCAGCAGCAGCAGTATCCTCTGCTGTTGCATGCACGCTTCTCTATTAAATAAATAAATAAATTGCTATAACAATTACTTGTTAAAAATGCATGCAAATGCATAAAGGGGTTTCCCTACTAATGGGGCTTTTTTGCATGCATGCATGCATGCATGCATGCAGTGCAGCGCAGCACACGATATACGCGCCCTTGCTTGCATGCATGCTTTGCATGCATGCAATAGGGCCCCGTAAGTAAACCTATTACATGTGCAAAAGGAAAAGGCACGCATGCATGCATGCATGCATGCATTGCTGCATGTATTGGTGCATGCATGCATGCATGCATACATGCGAGTTGTTGGTAAGAAAAGAACTACATAATAAGGGAGGGAGAAATAGTTTATGTTAAAATCCTCCCTAAACAAACTCTATAAAGTATAGAAACCCTAAACCCTAAACCCTAAACCCTAAACCCTTATAAATTAGTAACAACTAGACAATGACCATAACGAGGAGATAACATTGGTGGTCCTGTTGACCATTGGTCACCTTCAGGATCATAAAAACAAACACTATTCAATACTTCGCCATCTTGACCACCAGTTACCTGAATACATAAACCCTAAACCCTAAACCCTAAACCCTAAACCCTAAACCCTAAACCCTAGTCTTCTATAGCGCATCTCAAAGCAACTGACACCACCATAATGTTATCACCACTCTCTCCCTCTCTCCCTCCCCAAACCCTAAACCCCAAACCCTAAACCCTAAACCCTAAACCCTAATAGACGTACCATGATGGCTCCTTCGGCGAATACAGCACTACAATCCATTCTAGGGTTTGGCATAGGGTTTAGGAATGACCATTGTTTACCATCAGGGTCTAAACCCTCAATAGAATTTATTATACGATGCTCGCTATCTATACCCCCTAATACATATAAATGATTATTTCCTGATACTGCACTACCTGCACTACGGACCTGAAAAAAAAAACCCTAAACCCTAAACCCTAAACCCTAAACCCTAAACCCTAAACACTAGAATAAACATAAAACCTTAAAAATTAACAATAAAGCAAAAAATAAACATCAACCCAAGAACGTAAACCCTAAACCCTAAAACATAAACCCTAAACCCTAGAACAACAGTAAACAATAGAAACCAGACGGTGAAACCTAAACCCTAAACCCTAAACCCTAAACCCTAAATAAATAGAATACCTCAATCATGGATGCTGGTAGGGTTTCCCATTTATCCATTCGCTCATCATACACCTCAACTGTTCGTAGTCTTTCTCCTGTTGTTCCTCCTAGTACTACTAATGAATCCCCTGTATAATAAACAAATAAATAAATAAATAAATAAATAAAATAAAATAAAATAAGAAAATAAATAAATAATAACAAGAAATAAATACCTATTATACATTTGTAGATATATATACATTATATGACAGCATAACCCCAAACCCTAAACCATAAACCCTAAACCCTAAACCCTAATTATATTGCTTACCATGAGCACAACACATAGCACTAGATCTGGGTGAATTAAGAGGAGCAAGATGTATCCAATTCTTCATTCTTGTATCTAAACCCTCAACAGAGGAGAGAATAGATTCCCCATTAAATCCTCCAATTATAAATACTCTCTTATTTAATGAGGATGCGCATGCATTACGACGAGGAATAGATAAAGGTTGGCAACTAAACCAACTCCCTAATAATGCATCATATACCTCTACGTCACATAAGGCCTAAAAAAAAATTTACATAAACCCTAAACCCTAAACCCTAAACCCTAAACCCTAAACCCTAGAAAACCCTAAACCCTAAAAAAACCCTAAACCCTTAAAAATTCTAGAAAATTATAAAAATGTGGAGGAAAGCGTAAACCCTTGAAAATGATTGCAGAAACCCTAAACCCTCAGATGCAGGATGGAGTGCAAAACCCTGAATAAACTGACAACGGCCTCTAAACCCTAAACCCTAAACCCTAAACCCTAGAAGTATATAAAAATAAAATTGAATAGATTTACTTTATAATTAATATTTTGTCCTCCGCATAGATAGATTTTATTATGAATAGCAGCAGCAGATGCATATGCTCTCTCTGTTTGCATAGGAGGGCAATAGATCCATCTTTGTTGCTTATAATTATAATATTCAATTGTATCTAGATGTTTTTTTCCGTCATTTCCTCCTAATGCAAACACTAATGGAGAAGAAAAGAAATTTAATCCATAAAATGCTGCCTCTGCACAAAGAGCATCACTTTCTGCACTATCCCTGCATCACGCACATGTATACAAAACCCTAAACCCTAAACCCTAAACCCTAAACCCTAAACCCTAGATAGAATAAAATATCCAAAAAAATAATCTCAATCAACAACTAACATAAAGACAAAAAAAAGGATATCCAGCATCAAGAAAAAATCTAAACCCTAGAGAAACCCTAAACCCTAAACCCTAAACCCTAAACCCTAATATTTGTGTACCTTGGTTGTGGTGGTGTATTAGGCTGTCTAAGGAAGTTGAGTATAATACGGAAAAGTTCTGCATCTCTATCAAAGAATATTCTTCCTTGTTTATCCCTAGGTACAGGAAATTTTCCTGATAAAATAGAGGATAATAAAGATTTTTTTTGTTGAATTAGGGTTTCCCTTGATGATTCATATATAACACCACCAACATTTATATCTATAACCATCTCTGCTGCAATTGTTGCATCCATTACTCTTTGATTTAATGATTCAAATGCTAATACTTCTTGACGAAAACGCTCCCTCTCCTGTACATATACGTAAACCCTAAACCCTAAACCCTAAACCCTAAACCCTAAACCCTAAAATTCGATATTCTTGAAAGACAAAGAAAGAGAGAGAAAGAGAAGGAGGTTTAACGAGAAAATAAATAAAGTATATATATAATATACAATATATATATATACAATATATATAAATATATATATTATACAAAAAAAAAAAAAAAAAAAAAAAAAAAAAAAAAAAAA